GGCGATGACCATAGAAAAGATAACATCGTTCGAACGATACGAAACGTAGGAATAAAGCGAGGATGCGGGTGCAGCGACGTTATTCCGAATGTATTGACAATAAACGTAATTAATCGAGGTAATAGCGCATTGATAAATAAACGTTGAACGCAGTGAGATATATAATTTATCCACGATGCCGGACCATCGGGCTCGTATCGCGACGCGTTCACTGTGTCGACGCATCGTCGATAAATCGTATATTAGTTGTTATTAATTGTAGTTAACCGCTAGATATGCTATGTATATAAAGAAAAAATAACAAATGCAGTAGGAACTATTATACGTCAAAAAAAAGAGCTGTTTGTATAATAACATGTTGTAAGTTACGCTACTTCAGCGTCGACGGTCAATCCGATCGAACTTACTTTTCGCATACGTGTATACGCGCCGCGAGATCGCGAGGAGAGGAACCTACTGTAATTTAAAGGAGGATTTAACGAAACGGGGAAAAAAGGAAATGGAAAGAAAGGGGAAGAGGAAGATGAATGATACGCAGCACGTAGATTACCCGAAGTCAATATTACACCAATGAGTACGCGCGTATGCGACAAGTTCACTTGGATTCGTCGAGACGCTGAATCGTCGTACTGCTTCCATAGCAATAACTGTATAGTTGATGTTAATGGTACTAATCACCTACGTAAAACTATGAATTATTATATAATGTGCCCCGCAGAGGATTAAACTAGATTGCAACTTCTTCGATTTTCGGGTATATATCATTTTCCTCGGACAATATAAATAACATGCAGGCAAATAGAGTTCCGTTTGTTAAACGCTCGAAAACCGCCACTTTTGTCACGGGTTGTGTATTCACTGACGATCATCGGTGATCCGCAAGTGAACAACAAGATAGGCCGTGCTCGACTGGTCGTTGTTTCCGATCTCGAGAGATGCGATACGAAATGCACGCGAGAAATTGAAGCGATCTATATACTGTTCCTTTCTTATTCCTCTTATTCGTATACCAGTTCTTCGTATTCTTCGTTTGATTTGTCTTTTTTCGAATTTTCATTCGAGCGCAACGTTTCTTTGCCGACGACGTTCAAACTCCGTCTCGCTGAATAGTGTCGACGAGCCAGGAATTTTATATGCGGGGTTTTATGATGACGATAATAAAAGAGAGAAAAGAAAAACAAGGAAAAAAAAACAACGTCGAGCGACGATTAACGTTTAAGGTACACACTGAGAGCTGTGTTGATAACCGATAAGCGAAAACGGCGAGGGAGCCAATACACAACCGAGATGCGAAATCGTTCTCTCGAGTCTGTCGCGGGGGAACGGAAACGTTGTTTATTGCTCTACCAATATAGAAATAGTAAATGTAAGATAGTTGCAGGCAAAGAACAGAACAAACAAAAAAAAAATGAAGATACATTACTATCTAAGTGTTTGATAATATAACATATTCTAACACTTGTTGTATAAAGACTACTGTTTAGGTGATTCTTGGATTATTTATCGTGCCGGACAGGTTGAGGTGTGTTTGAAAATAATTTGCCGCGACGAGACGTAAACGGGGAGGAGAGTTTAGAGGGAATGTTTAAAACCGATGAAAGGGAAAAGTATAACAAATAGATGATAACTGTTAATCGGAATTCCTGTCGAACCTTCGTTGTACGTTCGTTTCGTTCCACGTTTCTCGACGAGGGGCGTGGAGGGTAAGAAAATGATTGTTTCTCGAATTATTTTCATACACAATATAGATTTTCCTGTAAGGCTAGTTGTTTTTGATTGTCGATCGATTTAACTTGCGATTCCTTGCGAGAGAGTGAGAGAGCAAGTCGTCACTTGTTTCGATGACCGTGCAGTTTTTGCGATCCTCGCGCAGTTGATTTTTCAAGGCGGCGTCCTGAGAACCGTTATAAATGTATTCGAAAAGTTTTATTTTCGTGAGAACATAAATGAATTGTTCTGTAAACGAATATATTGCTTCCTATATGTTCGAACGAACGGTAGCTACCTCTCCCACTTGCTATGCCCTTTGTATGAAACGTTCATTATTTATTGTGTCTAATCTATTTCGACGCAGTGGCCTGAATATGTAAATCTACTATTGTAAATGAAATTTTGTCCTTAGATGCAGCGAAATATCTAATACTCTCGATTTATACCATTACTAATCTAGTACAGTTCTTATTTTTCAAGAGATATAATACCATGTTATTGTAAAAGTACTGCCTCGAGGACAGACTGTATCTTGGCTCCGATTAATAAATGAGTTCGAACCAAAATCAACCACTCGTGAGATTTCTGTTGACAATAGATTGACTCCTAATGATCCTTTGACCCTTAGCCGTGTTAATACGGCCCTTGCACGCCGATAGAATTTTTTCAAAAACATCTTTTTGTAAATTATTATCCATTGTTCAATGTTACTTTGTTTTATATTGGATTTTTTCCTTATTTCTATTCTCTTATTCTTATTGTCGTATGGATAAACAACACAGTGGAGTTTTGTCAGCAGTTATTGGCAGAAGGTAAGTTTCCTCTAGACTCATCGATAAGTGTATCTTATCGTTGAAGGATACAAGTTAAAATTGTTTCTAATTGTAAGTTATAAGACTAGCTACAATGTCTAATTATATTAATAATTCCTTAATTACACAGAAACAATAATATTAATCTTATTTACTCTTAAATCACATTAGAAAAATGCAATCGGTTACTAAAATAATGACTTGACATTACTGAAAGCAAGCTCAAACTAAGTTTAGAATAAAATAAATTTTAGTTACACTCAGAATTAGCAAGAAAGGTAATTAAATATTAAAATGACATTTTTCTCCCACTGATTCTTAACTATTTATGACCAACTCCGATGAATTCTACTTCTGATCAGAAAAAAGCAACTCGAATTTACGAAAGAATATTATTTTTTTTAACACGTGGAGTGATTATAATCTGTTGTTAATTTAGGCACAAGAATATAGATTGTGCTATTGATTATCAAGAAAATCACTCTTCCTATAATTTTTAATATTATTCTCCTATCTGCTATTATCTTCTACGAATTTGTCCATTATAGTTAACGCAATTAATTCATTTTCGTACAGACGAAGGGGCTGTCGGTAAAAGAGATGACAAACGACAAAGCGAACGTCTGAACTTTAATGTATTCAGTGCCTTCTGTTTTCGCAAAGGAGACGGGCAACGAAAAAGAATCGGGGAAAGGAGAATGGGGGATAGGGATGCGGTACACTGACGCTGAATTGAATTTTTTTTTTCAATTCATTCCACTTCCCACAAGCGAGACGTTCAAGCTCGATGAGTATCTGTGCGCGACAGCGGCGCCTATTCGCAGTAAATTCTCATTATTTTTAAATTGGAAATGAGAAGAGCACGCGGCGGGTGTGGTTAAGAGCACCTTCGCCGCCGTGGAGAAAGAGGAAAAAAAAGTGGAAGTCCGGCAGTGTATTATTCCAGACCGATGCCTATTCCGAAGGTGGAGGAGTCGCAGAAATTAATTTAATTACGTAGCTGATGTCAATAACAGTCATCGTTCTCCGTTTAAACGGGGGTCCATGGATATCCGCTAAGGATTCTGAATATTCTTAATCATATTTCGTTTTCCATGCAAATTACCCGAACGAAATTATATTAACGAACAATTTCTCTATTATCCAATTGCACGTAATGCAGGTATTTTACGAAAGAATTGATTCGATTACAAATAAAAACCTTATCGATTATCACAAAACAAAGA